TACCAAGATCCCAAGATTCTTAAAAATTCTTCCAAAAACGTAACACCAGGGATTCTCAATTTTCTTTGAATTTTTCCCAAAATAAATGAAAACCCTGTCCTATGATTCTTATAAATTCCTAAATTCACCCAAAAGAAGACATCTAGAATCGTCAAAAGTCTTTTAGACCCATTTTAAACAAAAAACCAAGGGCCACGAAGATGCTCTGAAAGCTTTTCAAAAAATAAAACACCAGGAGCTTCGAAATTACTTCAAATTTTTCCAAAAGTGCGCTGCCAGCCACCTCTAAGACTCTTTCAAATTATTCTGAAACAAAACACCAGGGACCCTCAATATTCTTTGAAATTTTTTCGGAAACAAAAAATCCGAATCTCCAAAATTCTTACAAATTCTTTCAAAAACAACACAACAGGGACTCCCAAAAAACTTTCAGACTCATTATACTTCAGATATTATAGAGAGTAAACTAAGAACTAATACCCGATCGAAGTTCTTTTATTGTAATTTTTAATTGACATTCTTGACATTCTAAGTCTAAGACTACGTTTCTGTCAATTTTATCTGCAAATGTGTACGAATTTAAAAAAAAGTCGATATAAGATTATCTAGACAGAACTTCCCTCGTCCTTGAAGTACAATACAAGATATCCAGTTTTTCAGAAAAAAATACAAAATTATTATTATTATTATTATTAAGGAATTTTACATCTATTTAAGTATCTTCGGATTGAATGCCCCTAGAATGTAACTCCAAATGTTGTTGTGACTGACTGTTTCACCATGGGGAGCTATAAACCAGTAATATAATTTAAAAAGTATACAACTCATAAATATCGTTCAGAGCGCTCCTTGTGATCGTTTTCTGGTAAACTCGCAACAAGATCTGACGATATCTGACGTTTCGAAGGCGATACGGGCGTTCCTCCGATCAGCGCCAGCGAGTTTTCTTTTAGCCTCAAATTTAATTAGCCGCGATTTAACGTAATTAGTTAGTCTGCGCGCACGGGTTGACGTTTATAATCGGCTTAATGTTTGTTTGTCACCGTTACACTTAAGATATTAAAATGAGCAAACTAAGAAGTTTAGCGTTGAATGTTAGACACATTTTAATATACAGGTGGTGAGAGCGGCAGATAATTAAAGCTATAGCTCACCTGCAACGTTACGCAGCGTCTTAAATGGAATTACCGCCATCATTCCTTGTCAAGTGGGCGTTTTCATCTCGTTCGATTACGTAATAATCGCGCAATAAACGTCCTTAATTTTGTTATATTCGGAGACGGAGGAATTAGTCGGGGCGCAAACCCGATACAGAGCCGGCTTTGGGTGCGCGCATCCGCTTAATTAATCGTTCGATTAATTCGGTCGGTGTGTCGGTTAATGAACATTTTACCTGCGAATACGTAATAAACCGTTGTCAACATCCCTAATTGACGCGCTTCGGTAATGTATTCATGGAGGGTGCCATTGAACTGTCGCGACCAGTTATTTATCTGTCAACTAGAGAACAATAAAGATAATGGCTCGCGGAGAGGTAGACGTTTTAAAGGCAATCAACATCTTATATAACAGGAGCAAGGAATTTATTGTTGTGCTATATATATTTTCGAGACGTTTCTCTATCTTGGCTTGCGCTATTCGTCTTTTGCCGGGCCACAAATTAAATTATATTGTCATTCAATGAGAAATGCTTTTGTGTGTTCGTGGGAAGACGGCGACTTGCTGAAATGTATGCCGGTAATTTGATAAAAATACACCAAGACTAGGCCAGACTTGCTTGTTCTACGCAAAAAACTACGCGCATGAGAAGATTCGGGTATGCGGAAAATCTGAGGCTTTCCAGGTTACATAAATAGTACAAAGTGATCGCTGAGGTCCGAACGTGTTGCCTGCAATCTTTAAACAAGGGATCAACCAACAAGAAAGCTAATAGTAATAGGACAATACAGTCTGTTAAACAGTTAGCTACCCTTGGGACTATAAGTAACCAGTACACTGAACGTAACGAAACTCAATCCCTACAACATGAAAAAATTTCAAAACACTCTCCCGGAATAGGAAGTGGAGTTTCAGCTACGAGCTCGTTGTCGGTGTCGGTGTCGAGGTCACAGAAACCGGTCTGAACCGAGTCTGAACATCTGCATATAACGCCGCGCTATATAAAGAGAGAGATAGAGAAATAAAACTATCAAACAATAAACGCTTCAGAGAGTGGTGCTGATTCCGTCTCTTAGGACCCCCAGGATGCTTTAACAAAACACAATCTACACCTACTCCCAGAATTTGAAACGATCCTCAGGATGCAGAAGTGATGCACAGCTAACTCTCGCAACTTTCTCTGAGTGCAGAAGTTGCTTGACGAATTATTCTTGCATCAAGGTATATTACGGTCAGGCTATCAATGTGCCTAGGCGTTGACCAGCAGCGCCTCCTGTTCGCAGCGGTAGTAACTAGCGACTCAAGCAACAAGCGCGAGAGTAGCGTGGGCGTGATCGAGAGGGCGCTACGGTTCATGTTACTATTTAATAAAATGTGTTCGTTTGACCAGAGATAATAGAGGTACGACAGCTTTTGAATTCTCCATAAGAAATGCATGGGAGTGAAGTGAACATAGAATTTGACATAAAGGACCGTTGGAGGCGCAACATTTGTGGTGGTAAACCTGAATGTCCTAATGTATGTATATGTTAAATATTACTAAATATATTACTAAAAGTGACATAACGAACGAAAAACGCGAACTCTGAGATAACCCCAATTAAATATGATGCGATGGTTTCAAATTATAAAAGGACAGTGATAGTCTGTTTTTTAGGTTGCTTCTGTCGTTCCCTATTATGGAATTTCGATGTGTCAAATATACTTAATCGCACAAATAATGACAAAAGGTAATCATGGGGGAGATTACTACATGGATGTTTGTATGTTATTAAGGCCAGCTGATTTTTAAGTTACCTACCAACTTGAAGCAAAAATATATTATGTTCAAATGAACTAATGAAATTATTCTATTTTTAAGAGAAAATTAATGACTTCGTATACGTGTTTAATTTATATAAATTGACAACGCAGAGTTAAAATTCCATCCGTGCGTCCCTGGGCCGACGCACTCTTTTTTGTTGTTATCGTTAAAACCTTTATTTGTGCAAAAATCTTTCAAAGTATCACTACAACACTGAGTTCCTGTTGTTTGATAAATTTTTTTTTTAGATTATTCTTCTTTCAACTTAGGCAAGATTCTTTTAAATTCTTCGTAAACAAAACGCCATGGAACCCAAGGTTCTATTAAAAAAAAAACACCAGGTTTCTCAAGATTTTTTTTCAATTGTTTTAAAAACAACGGCCACCAAGCTTATTTTAGAGATGTTCTAAAATAAAACATCAAAGGCTTTCAAGACATTCTCAAATTTTTCCAAAGACAAAATATCAGGAATCCTTAAGATTCTTCAAAATCCTTTCAAAACCAACTTAGATTTTTTCAAAATCGTTATAAAACAAAACAATAGAAACTGACAACATGCTTTCACATTTGTTTTAAATTAAACACTAGGGGCTTCAGGACCTTTCAAATTCTTCCAAAAACAAAAAATTAGGATCTATTAAGATTCTTTAAAATACCATCAAAATGACTCCAGTTGCTCCCAGATTTTTTCAAATTTTTTAAAAAATATGACGCCAGTGATCTGAAAGAATCTATAATAATTTTTTTAAAAAACAAAACATCAGGGATTGCCAAAATTCTTTCAAATATAAAAAATAAATTAGTACTCAAAATATAAATATTTTCAAATTGTGTGAAAAATATCGACAAAGGCCCTCAAGCTTCTTCCAGAGACATTCAAAAATAAAACAAGGGATTTTCAGAATTATTTGCAATTAAAAAAAGATCAGGGCTCAAAATACCAGGATTCTCTAAGATTCTTTAAAATCCTTTTAAAACCAATGACAAGGGCCCTCAAGATTCTTTAAAAATCCTTATAAAGTAAAACAGTTGGAATCTCCAAGATTTTTTCAGATTTGTTCTGAAATAAAACACCAGGGGCTCCAGGATTCTTTAAAATCCTTTCAAAAACAATACATTAGGAACCCCTAGAATCTTTAGAATGTATTAAATACGACACCATTGACTTTCAAGAATCTTTCAAAATAAAACACAAGAATCTCAAGATTCTTTCATATTGTTCCAAAAATAAAACATTAGGAAACACCAAAATTTTTTGAACGATAAAAAAAATGCAACACCAAGGCTCCCAAACTTCTTCCAGAAACATTTGAAAATAAAAGGTGAAGTGTCTCTAAGACTCCTTAAAATTAAAAAAAACCTCCGGGACTCTCACGATTCTTAAAATTTTTTCCAAAGACAAAATACCGAGAATCCCTAAGATTATTTAAAATTATTTAAAAAAATAATGACCAGGATGTGCTTCTGAATTCTTTCAAATCGTTATAAAACAAAATATTAGGGACCAAAATTCTTTCAAATTTGTTCTGAAATACTTTCAAATGCTTCCAAAACTAAAATATCAGGGGCCCTAAATTTCTTCAAAATCACACCTGTTCCTCCAAAATATTTGCAAATTCTTCAAAAAACAAAACAACAATAATCTAAAGATTCTTCCAATATATTTTCAAAAATACGAGGCTAGTGGCTTTCAAAAATCTTTCAAATCTTTAAAAAATAAAACACCAGTTCGAACAAGTTTTTTTTTGTAGCACAATAAATCATAATTTGAAATTCTGAGAATTGCTTAACTTGTTTACATTGAACTCTACACAATTAAAAAGATTTATGTTTGGACCTGTATTTGTCAATAAGACTTACAAAACAAAGGGCTTTCAATCAAAATACTGACAGAACGGTTAGGAAATTCTATTAAAATTGATTGATGGTTTCTTATTTGTTAACTGATTAACAGAAGAACCCAAACTTTTGATAAGGTCTTGGACTTACAAGTATATATATAAAACCATAGACTCCAGTAAAACTAAGTCAAAGTACTAGACGGCGAAAACGATAGAACAATGAAGTTATTGGTGTTTCTGACTGTAGCAGCATGTTCGACACATGCTGAAGATATCAGTGGTTTAGTAAATCCAAATGTTAGATTTTCCGGTGATTTGTACGACGTAAGTAATTTCATGCAACATTTTTTTATTTTTACTGATTTTATTAATTTGCTAGGCTTTTGCACAATTCGATACAACTATTCTCGGTCCGTTTTCTATTCAAGCCGTTGTGGCTGTCACCGAATCTGGTACTAAAGACACAACTGCTAAAGAAATCATGAACAATATGTTGAGCGAAGTCTACGACTGGCAAGTACAAGACACATACGGAAGTGCTATGCTCACGGTTCCAGCAAACATAACAACGAAAATGTTTTCCGACCCTGGTATTTCAATAACAGACGACTATAAAGAAACAGAAAGTACTGTCTATGGCGGTTCTATAGAAAATATGGAATTTTCCAATGCACAAATCGCCGCCGCAAATTTAAACCACTGGCTTCAGGAACAAAGTAACGATTACCTAAATTCTAGTTTTTCTAGTACTGATTTTAGCGAAAACATAGCAAGTGTTACGTTAAACACCTTATTTAAGAAGATTACCTGGGCAAATCCTTTTTCCGCTGATCGGACCGTACTTGCAAATTACACCTATTACAATTCTAATGGCCGACTTACGTATGAGAGTGTATACATGATGACGCAAGAACCAGTAATATACAACTATTACGAAAGTACGTCTCTCACCGCAACATTTTTGGAAGTACCTTTTGAAGATCCGGACACTACTTTGACTATTGTTCTTCCTGATACTGTGAATGGCCTTTCTAGGGTTGAACAACGAATTTCAGACGTTATAAAAACCCAAGATTATATACAAAGGCCTGTACAACTCTCGCTTCCTCGTTTCCAGGGGTTAGATGGTCCCAGGTCGCTTAAGGAAATCATGCAATCTAAGGTAGATTAATCTAACTTATGTTTCAAGTTAAACTGATAATTGTTTAAGTTTAATGTTAATGAGGCTTTTGGTACCAAGGCTGATTTAAGTGGCATCGCCGGTTTTCCAGGAGATCTTGCTATAAATGATGTTTTGCACAGTTCTTACATTACTTTCGGCGAAGACGGAGTGGAAGCGGTTTCGGGTATGTAGACCATTTTCGATTTAAGTATGCAGATTATGACAGAAGTTCTCTTTCGTGCTTTGGAACATAATTTTCCTTATTTTTCAGAAGCTGCAGTTACAACAAAGTCTTTTCCACCCCGCATTTTCGAAGCTAACCATCCATTTTTGTTCTACATTAAGTACAAAGGAGTGGTACTTTTCATTGGAAAGTACGTTCATCAATGAACCGTTTTAAGATAATATGTTATTTCTTTAGTAGACACATTGTAGTTTATTTTATATTAGAAATTTAAATAAATATTGCTCTATTATGTAGTGTTTTACAATGTAACGCAATTGTTCCAGTGATTCGTAAAAAAATTGCGTTTAGGTTCTTTCTTCAAAATTAAAACTCAAAAGATTTTTTACGATTAATATTTTTTCATAATCCCTGCCTGTTATTTTGTTATAACCACTCTCTCTGTTCGATCGATATGTCACCCAAAACAACCATGGTCATTATAATTAACAACCACGGCCATTATATAAGAATAACTATGTGTTTCCAGCTCAACCAGGAGCGAACGCTAATTACTTGATTTATAAAAAAAATAATAAAATCCTAAAATCGGTTCTTTTGAAAGTATTATGAAAACGTTTGGTGGTTTGTTTTTGAAAGGGTCTGAACAACCTTGGGAGGTCGTAGGGCTTTTTTTAAAATATATAAAAAAGTAAACCCCCCGTTCCGCCGCCTCCACCCCTGCACTAGGCTCCAATAAACGCAAACTAATCTGCTTGTTTCGAATTGCAGCCTTTTTACACGTCGTATAAAGCGCGTGTGCCGTAATAAAATACGCACAGAATGGAATTACAGATATAAATTCCGCCGTTGAAGTCTTTATGAGATAGGACCTCTTGGCGGAAGATCTGGTCTTAGGTTTCATTATTTTTTACAAGCTCTTTGCTTTATGTGCGCTCAAATGGGAACTGTATTTCCGGCTCGTAACGCCACAACCAGGCAAGAATCCGTCGATGTCCGATCCGCGCCTCGCGGACCGGACACCTGCAAATTCCTCAGCGTTCATTCTCTGGCAGATTCCGTTCTAAAAAACGAAACGCAGAAGCGAGTAAATAGAAATTACGGCGCAAAGTTTTCCCAGTTCGTATATTGAGCGGTTGTAACTTTCGGTTATGTTGTGCCTACTCGAGTGAACTCCGCTAGTGTTGTGCACAACTCAAACAGATCTTAAAATGACGCAGGCCTGTGATACGCCGAGATGTGAATAATTAAACACGAGATTAAGTTTTTGTTTTAACATTTCGCTGATTTTTCGTTTTGTTTTCGAGTGCGAGCGGAGTCGTAGGCGTGATTGTTTCAAGTCGGGATAAAAGTTTGCGAGCAGTCAATAATTACTTCCACTACAACATTTCTAGAATGCTTTATGAAACCGGGCGGGATTAGCTGAGCCCGGATTCCGGCACAATGGACTCGAGGTTTTTCTGGTCGGGAAGAGTTTTCAGAGAGCCAACTATTCATTTCTACTATCTCCAAGATTGGCAGTCTCGTGTAGTACCGTAATAACCCAAAACCCAGCTAAAATGACGTTAGGCGGTTCACGTGAACAGTATGGGACAAGCATAAGCTTTTTTCTATAATGATGCAAAACTCCATTTTTGAAACTGACAACGCAACTAGAAAATTTACGTATAAAGACATAACAAGTGCACGACATTAATCAACATTTTTGAGAACACTCCACAAAAGCACAGTCGAATGACTCGTTTCAAATTAGAGCCATGCGATTTCTGCACTCTGCAATAATAAAAGCTATTTCCGATGGAAAAAAAAATGCAAACAGCGAGCTTCGGTTATGAGGCTTAGGGCTTGAATACCAAATTCAAATTGATAACTTTTGTTCGGAATTAAAAAAGCAGATGTAAAATAGCGGCGCGAGTCATTGTTAGATTGTGTAAACTATTTAAAGCTCGCATTGAAATTGATTTTAGGGGATGTTTTAATCTGAAGCTTTTCCAGGGTTCGGAGATTATAATTGTCAATTCCGGCATGAATTAATTGTTAAAAATGGAGTTTTGCAATTAAGCGTGTCAATTTTAATGAGCCATTTTATGTGTTATTGGGCTGTTTCTAAAATAGTTATCCGAAATGGTATATTTATCAAATGCAAATTACTTTGTACGATTTAATGAAAACGGAGCGATATTGACCAAATTAAGAAAAAAATTGACATTTTAGTTAGTCCTAGAATAGAATATTTTTCAATTCAACGGGTATTTTTATTCCGTTTCTTACGTTTTTATGTCATACGTGCAAAATTAACGTGTGCTGGACTATTTTCACTGTTAACGGACTGCGAAAGCTAAATATGAAGGATTTTCTCTGGTCTGCGTAATTAAAATTAAATATGTCTGGTCGCAGTGTTGGTTATCTCTCAATGTAGCGATTCCGAAATGTTTGAATGAATGCAGACTCTATAATACATTAGCCATAACATTGCGAAAGTTTCACGTTTGGTCTCAAAGCTCATCAGAATTCTGCACCGAATCGGTGCTTGCAAGCATATTTATTAACTGCAGTAGCCAGCTGAATTGGCAAATGTTAGTGGTGGTGGGCAATAAAGCGAATTTGTGTATTTACAAAATCAGGACTTTTGTAAGTGTGACGTGCATACGTCTAACGTTAATATTTTATTTGTAATTGGACTAAATGGGTAATAAAAACGGTACGATGTTTTCAAATGTTCGAGGTGTTGGTGTTCTGTTACGTTTGTATTATTTTAATACGAATATGTGCAATGAATAAATGAAATATTTTCTTGAGGTTTCATAGCTTATGAAATTTAAAAAAGTAAGTTTTAGTCTGTCTTGTTCTAAAAACGTGATGACATTAATGAAAATTTTGTGACATGCTCCTTTATTTATAATTTAATCATGTGTTCTTATTTTTAATAACAAATTTTATAGTTGTATTTACGTTAATCTATTGTTTAAAACATGTTTTATCATCTTTGAGTTTAAAAATCTTTGGTTCGCAATTAAAAGTTATCAGTTTATCCCCCCCCCCAATTGATGACGTTATATTAAAATTTTGCTGACTAATTCATATCTAAAATGTGCAAAATGTCTATATTTGTGGTTTGCATTTTTATTTTTACTTCCCGAGCAAAGGAAGTACTGTATAGAGTCCATCCAGTAAATGGCTACTTTCATGCTTTTTCGACGTTTCTCTAGAATACGAAAAAGTAAATGGGTCTCTCGTTTTCACCTGTATTATTTACGAAACTACTTCATCAATTTGCATAGTAAACGTTATTTAATTTTTATAAAATAATGTACTCCCGCATTATTCGTAGTTTATGAATCCGTTTTGATTTTTATCAGAATTACTTCATAAAAGTATCTTTTACATAATATTTTCCACGCTCGTGTGGGCTCGAATTGCATTCCTATCGAATGTTTCACAACGATATTTAGTAAAAGTGGACTTCAAATAGTGGAGCTTTTGGGATTTTTATTTAAAAAATTGTTGATCAAAAACACAAAAGTTCGTCCAAAAAAGTGACAAGTGAGTACAAAAAAGTAATTTTGACATTTCAGTACAAAAAAGTGACACTTTATAGACGTCATTGGGGACGTTAAACTACTAGATTTGTAATGGTCGCCTAAAAATCCATTTTATGTAAAATAAGGTTCCACCGAGATTTGAACTCGGATTGCTGGATTCAGAGTCCAGAGTGCTGACCGTTACACCATGGAACCTCTGAAACATTTTAACTGTGTCATTATCATTAAAGCTAATAGAAGTATTAAGTGTATATTAATAGATTTAAATAGTGGATTTCTTCGTTCAGCTGGAAGGCAGACTAATTCCATTAAGAAATAATTATTTAATAGCCCATGTACATATTGTCCACAGCAGTAGTTTTTGTTTTCAGGCGATGAACTAAAATTTTAGTAATTTTAGTAACTTTTTAATGTGTTGCCACAAAAAAAAAAAAAATTAGTGCACATAACAACAAAATACAGATTCGTGAATATTTTACTGTTCCGTTAAACATTTTTTTCTTGCAAAATAAGGTTCCACCGAGATTTGAACTCGGATCGCTGGATTCAAAGTCCAGAGTGCTGACCATTACACCATGGAACCTGTGTAAATCTTCAACGGTAATTAATATCATTATTATTATTATTAATGATATTGCTAAAGTTAATAATGTTATTAATAGTCATTTACAATATGATAAAATTCCTGTTCGTTGATAATTATTAAACTAAAATTAAATATAAATATATACCTAATCATAGAAATTAGAAAAAATGCAGATACTGAATTGACTAAAACAAAAAATAATAACATGATTCAGTGTATTTATTAAAAATATGTGGTGTTGTATTGTAGCATATATGTATGTAGTATATACTCTAGTATTTTTAGTATTTAGGTGATGACTGATGAATGATAAAAATTCTTATCTTTCAAAGTCCTACTTTTAATGTTTCGCTGTCAAAAAAAAAGTGTCAACATTTCGAATATTTCATTGGTACTTGAAGGGTTTAATTTATACAAATTTTATACAAAATAAGGTTCCACCGAGATTTGAACTCGGATTGCTGGATTCAGAGTCCAGAGTGCTCACCGTTACACCATGGAACCTCTGAAAGATTTACACCATTTTAAATGTAGCAACATTTTGTAAGTTAATAGAAGTGTAAAGTATAGATTACTAGATTCAAATATTGGTTTTCTTTGTTCAACTGGAGGGCAGATTAAGTACATTAAGTAAAATATGGCCCACTTACATATTGTCCACAGCAGTAGTGTTGGTTTTTAAGAGGAGAAACCAAAATGTAGTAATTTTTAAACTGGAAAGTTAAAAAAAAAAAGGATTTAGTACACATATAACAATGACATTCCGATTCATGAATTCATATTATTATATTAAATATTTGTTTCGTGCAAAATAAGGTTCCACCGAGATTTGAACTCGGATCGCTGGATTCAAAGTCCAGAGTGCTAACCGTTACACCATGGAACCTTTCTTGTAAGACTGCAGGTCAGAATGGGTGAACAAAGTCATTATATTTTTAATTAAATGATAACTTCTCGCCGAACTTGAGATAAAAAAATAAACATATTATGTGATATGCGTATCAAAAATAGTATTAACTACAATTTATTTATATAACTGTTGGGTCAGCGTAATAATTTTAGGCGAACTATAATAAAAAATTCTTAGATAAAGTACATACTTTAGAAAGAAAAACAATATATTGTACTTTTTACCAATCCATTTCCCTTTAAATGTTTTATTTA